TGAATCCTGGATTTTTAAAAGACAAGTACAAAACGTATTTTGGGGAAAACTAAGCATATTTGAATACAAACTAGATATTTTATGTTATTATGTAATGACTGTTTCTTAGGTTTGATAATGGTACTGTGATTAAAAGAATGTCCTTATTTTCAGAAGTCGCATGCTGAAGTGTTTAGGGGCAAGAGTGTGTCTGCTTACTTAATCTGGCAGAGTAACTAGTCAAAAACAAATGAAAGAACTTTTATCAAATGTGGCAAAAATATTAACAAATAGTGAATTGTTTCTATTCTTTCAACTTTTTTTTAGAGCAAAAGTTTTCAAACAAAATATATAATGTAATATAAAATGTAATAGCAAATATAAAATGTAATAACAAAATGTATCATTATAAGCTAGCAATAGAAAACTACAAGTGTTTCTACATTTGAAATTGATCAGTGTACTTTACCACATGAATGAACTAAGAGGGAAAAGTAATGTTAGCAATGTTTTGCAGTCTTCAGTGTACAAGTCTTATACTTTCTTAAGTTTATCCCTTTGTTTGTACTATTTATTTTTTTAAAGATTTTATTTTATTTTTTAAGTTTATTTATTTATTTATTTTGAAAGAGAGAGCAAGCAGGGGAGGGGCAGACAGAGATGGAGAGAATCCCAAGCAGGCTCTGTGCCGTAAGCACAGAGCCTGACATGGGGCTTAAACTCACGAACCGTGAGTTCATGACCTGAGTCAGGTGCTTAACCAACTGAGCCACCCAGGCACCCCAAGATTTTAAGTAATCTCCACACCCAACGTGGAGCTTGAACTCACAGCCCGTAGACTGAGTCACATGCTCTACTGGCTGACCCAGCCAGACACCCCAGTTCGTACTATTTTTGATACTAATGTAAATGGAATCATTTTAACTTCATTTTCAGATCAGCACTGCTGATACATAAGAATACAACTGATACCTTATGAGGATTTTTATATTTTGAAATTTTGCTGAATTTGTTAATTAGCTTTAGGAGTTTTTTGAGGGAAGTTGAGTTTTCTATGTAATATGTCACCTGTGCATAGTTTTACCTCTGCCTTTCCAATGCATATGACTTTATTCTAAACTTATTTAGAGGATTTTTTTTTTCTTGTCTGATTTCTCTGGCTAAATCTTCCAGTACCACATTGAATTAAAGTGGTGAAAATGGGCATTCTTGTTCCTAACTTTAGAAGAAAAACCTAAGCCCTCTATCACTGAGTATATTAATTATGGGCTTTTCCTATATCACCTGTTATATTGAGGAGGTTTCCTTCTATTTCTTGCCTTATTGAATGTTTTCATCGTAAAGGGGTGTTAGACTTTGTTAAATGCCTTTTTCATCTTAGTGTTTTCTTTATTCTATTAACAGGTATATTACATTGATTTTTATGTTGAGCCACCCTTATATTGCAGGGATAAATCCCACTTGATAGGGTATAATCCTTTTAATATGCTGTTGAGTTCAGCTTGTTAAATCAGTATTTTGTTTGAGGGTATACTGGATTATATAGTGCTTTGGATTTTGACTATTCTAATTAAGTGTGTCCTGTTGGTAGAAATGTAAACTGATGCAGCCACTATGGAAGAGTATGAAGTTTCCTCAAAAAATTAAAAATAAAATTACCATGGGGTGCCTGGCTGGCTCAGTCAGTTGAGTGT